CTCAGAAATGCATCCAGCCCGGCTGGCGCGACTCAGTGGTTGAGCGTCAAACTATGAACCAAGAGATCACTTATTAACCAACTCCCGATTCCAATGGCCATGAAATGCCCCTGGGAATAACTTCCCCCAGAGAAGCTTCCATCTGGGGCACCACTCAGAGCTTTGTGATTTTGAGAAAAAGCCTCTGGCAATAAAGTTGAGAGTCATACGGGTGGGTGCTTGAAGTGAGACCCTCACAGCCCGTGGGAACTGTCCACTGCAGCTGCAGGAGAAATCCGAGATGGGCCGAAGGGAGGTGGCCTGGGACACAAAAGGCATCTGCTCAGAGGGTGACTCAGATTAGGGGGCTGAATGGGTTCAGCAAGCAGAAGAAATTCAGGAAATGGGCTTGGAAAAGTAAGCTGGGGTCGGGGGATCCATTGTGAAAAGGCTCATCTGGCAGCCGACAAAGTTTAAACTGTAAATGCCAGGTCCTGGCACCTAGTAGGTGCTCAACAAATAGTTATTGAAAAAAATGAATGCTAATGACAGACGTTCCTGGGCCAAGTCCTTGCAAAGCTACTGGACTTTAGAATCCAGCAGATTGGCTGTGACCTTTAACCTCTTTCATCTTCCATTTCTCTCTCTCCCCCCAAAGCGGCAACAATAATAAGTCCTTTATAGGGTTGTTGTGAGGAATGAGAGAAGATCAAAGATATACGGCAGCTAGAAGTGTGGACTCAATAAATGTCAGCCACTCTACCCCTGCCCCCATGATGACCCAAAGCCAAGTCATAAAGCTGAACTATCCACCAGCTAGAGACAATGAAGGTTGCTCCTGGGATCTGTTTATAGGAGATGGATGCTGGCATTCCAGCTATATTGGTCCTCCTGGAAAAAATTAGTGGTATTGGTAACAACTTCCTTGTCCCAAAAGGGAACCAGACTGCTGCTTTAATTAAAGGACAGAGTTGAAACTATCCTCCCAGAGAACCCACAAATTCAGAAATTGATGCTTATAGTAACATAGTCCCTCCCCCCACCCCCCACCCCCGTTGTGCATTTAAATATACGTATTGAAACATTTTCCAATCAATATGGTGTTGACAGGCCATCCATCCCTGCTGTGCTACCTTTCTCATTCTGAAATCTTAACAGAGGCCAAGATGCTTGTGGACTTCACTTGCATTGGCTGCTGTAGGCATTGGGAGCTCCTCAGTCCTTCCCAGTGGACAAAGGAGATTTGTGGTGGCCTCTAGGGAGGTAGGGACAGTCCGGCTGGTGTTGCTCAGTGGTCAAGCGTCGACCCCATGAACCAGGAGGTCACAGTTCGATTCCTGGGCAGGGCACATGCCTGGGTTTCAGGCTCAATCCCCAGGGGGGGTTGTGCAGGAGGCAGCCGATAGATGATTCTCTCTCATCAATGATGTTTATCTCTCTCGCTCTCCCTTCCTCTCTCTGAAATCAATAAAAAATAAATACCCCAAACATATAAAAAATAAAATAAAAAATCCTTTAAAAAATGAATCTCAGGTGGGAGAGAACACTTGAGGAACTAGGTAAAGAATTGAGAAATGACACAAACTGGGGAATCCTCAATTAACGTATTTTAAAACACGTCCATTTCCCCATAGCAGTCAGGTACAAAGATAAACACTGTGATGAGTCATGCCAGTGGCACACCATTTTTTTTTTTTTTTTTAAGGCAGAAGGGATATTGGGAAAATGAGTAAACACATACTTTGTTAAGGCAGGAAATTCCAGAGTTGAGAAGCGACTGTGGGAGGTACATCTGCTCTTAGTCTGGAGTGATTCACACCTGGAGAAGCCAAGGAGGAACCCAAAGATGGGTGTTCCTTCATCTGTCTGTTCATTTGCTCATTGATTCATTCATTCATCTCCATTCATTCATTCAATGTGGAGAGCGGCTACAGTGTTTGGACAGGTTCAAGCCTCGGACTAATGAGAGGGCACAGTCCTCTCGTGGCCACGTGCAAGTCCCAGCTTGGAGGGCAGAGCCCTCCCAGAACAATTATAGCCAACAGCTATGGTTGTAAGCTTCACGTCGAACACGTGGTCTGAGTGATGTGGGCTTGATAGAGTTCAGGTGCATGTAGTTGAGTAGGATCGAAACCCATGAGAATGTTGTAAACATCTTGACCACGCCCTTACATTGCCTCCTGGGATCTGGCTATAAAATAACGACACGCTTGTAGTCCATGGCACTGTCGTTAGCTCTCCATCAGAGAGGGCAGCTTCCCACCCAGACCCAGCTTTCTGCTCTTGTCTGTCTTTTCTGCATCCTTCACCGCCCCCTCTCAGGGTCACTGAACCTGGCTGAGCTGGCGCAGCACATAAGGCGCCCTGGGGCTGAGTATGCCATGGCCGTGCTGGCTCGCCACAATTCAACCATGATCAGCTATCTCTATCACACTCTGCAAGAAGCAGCAGGAATACAAAAGTGGAAAAGACACAATCCCTTCCCTTGACGGGTTCTGAAAGTAGGGGAAACAAAAGATGTCACTAATAATTGTAATGAAGTGGAACGAGGGCAAAGATAAAACATGTCCAAGATGGGGTGGCGACACAAAGAAGAGAGGAGAGGCCAGAAAAGGCTTCCTTTCGCCGGGGACCCTTTAAAGGTGGGGATCAAAGGAGGGTGGGAGACCCCAGGCAGCAGGGAGTTGTGCCCATGTGCAGGGACAGAGGTTCCAAGGAAGAGGAAAAGGCACCCATCAAGAGTGAGACGCCTTTGGGTACCGCCTGGAGTTGGTCCGGCTACAGCACAGGAGGGAGGCAGAGAAGTGGGTAGAGACCAAACATGGGAGGAGGACCTCCTGGGTCAAGAGGAGGAGTCTGGGCTCCGTCCTGTAGGTGATGAGGGGCCACGGAAGGGTTCTGAGCAAGAGCATGGCGCTACCTCATATGTGGGCAAGAATGGTCTTCCTGGAAGCTTCCCAGTACCAAGCCTTGAGGGGTGGGTTGAAAGGGACTGGAAAGCAAGGAGGAGGAGGGCGGTCTGTTCAGATGGTCCAGTTGTGAGGCGATGGCAGGGGGCTGGGAGTTTAGCTCCAGTCCCCAAGGGGCTTTGAGGACAGGAAGAATTTCCAGCTGCCAAGTTACTTAGTCTCTTAGAGTATCAGTTTACTCCTCCACAACGCACAAGACCATTTATCATCAGGACCTCTCTCTGCAAGGGGAGGGGGGGCGGGACCCTGGAAAAGGGAGGTGCAGCCAGGTGTGGAGGGGAGGGTGAGGCGGGGGTCCCTGGCCACCCCACGCTGAGTGCCAGTCCAGGCGCTGGTCCCCAGCTTCCCCTTTTTCTCCCCTCCCCCCTGGGAATTGTTGAGGCCACAAAGAGGAGTGGACGGTCCTCTTAGACACACAGGTGTCTGAGGCCCGTGCAGTCAGGGTTTGATGCAGTCACAGGGGCCACTAAGCAAAGCCATTGGGGCTGTCACCCTGGCCTATCTCTGCCCCCCAAAGCTCTAGTGAGCCGTGGAAAGAACGCTTTAAAATGACTTTACACACACAACAACACACCGAAGTTTTACCCCCGATTGGGATTAGACAGCTCTGTGATTTTAATCAAGTTAGTTCAAGGCGCTCAATAAACCCCGGCGCAGGACAACTCCGCGGTCAGGAGACCCCTCCCTGCGACACCTGCGGCGCCACACCGCCTTCCCCCCACCTTCCCTCCCGGGTCCAGGCGCCGCCGCGACCCTAGGCGAGTAGGCAGCGGAGAGTGGAGTGGCGAAGGGGAGGCTGGGGCCCAGGCGTCCCCACGCGCTCCT